ATTTTTTTTCCCACTATATAGTGCCTCAGTAAAATTTAATAGCTAATGATCATCTAGTATATAAAGAAGCTAAAGACAACAAAGAACTCAAATACCAGTAAATGTTACCCCCCTTTCATGGTACCCCCAATCAACTGTTTTTCCTAACACAAGGAAACAACTGTGGCACTGTAAGGAACACTAAGGACGGAGCTGGGCAGAATAAGAAGCCCAGAGAGGAAGGAGTGACCCTGGAGTTAGGACGCCAAGCTCCCCAGGATGAAGGGATGGCAGGCAAACGTTGACAGCGGACGGAACAGGGCCATGCCAGCGAGCATCAGAAAAGGACAGATAGATACAATAAATATTCGAGGCCTTGCCATATATTGTGCTCAGATTTGGAGAGAAATAAGCAATATTAAGAAAGTGCCCATGTTCTTCGTAAGAGCCACATTTGCTCAGTTTCTTGCTCATTCCTTCCACCAACAGTACTCAGTCCTAGACACATGACCTAAAGCTGATTAATAAACTGGCTTTCAGCATACCACCCCCTAGGGGGCAGTTACAGTACTGCAATTCTATTCCCAAGGTACAGCTGAGGCAAAGCTGTTGAAGGCTACAAGATTACTTAAAAAAAAAAAAAGTGGGGGGGGGGGGGGAGTAGTCCCCTTTCTAGCTCCCAAGGCAGAGTGGGGGGCAGGGGGTCAGGCCTTCCCATCATGGTCCCTCCATGGGCTCCTCAAAGTCAGACCACAAGGTGAACAAATACACATGGCCAGCTGTTCTCTCCCATGGCCTATTTGGAATCTCAAGGCCAGCTCTCTGCTCTAGGGATGGACAAAGGACATGACCTTCCTCTTTATATTCTCACAGTTTTCAACAATGCAGAAGGCAAGCACCCCAGCACACAGCAAATACACACCCTGACATGCAGCAAAAGTGTAAACACATCTTTTGAAAAGCTACTTTATCTAAAGCAGGAGTTTGCTAAAAGAACTGACAGATAGGGGGAAGGGATGGGGACAATTCGGTTACTATGTATTTTATATTTCCTTATAGGGAACCTAGGAATGAATGTTGTTTCTTCTGTCTCATTTTGTTTTTGTTTGATTTGGACAAAATGCTTTGAGTAGACATGAGCTCTAAAAGGGGGAAAAGAAGGGGAGGACAAAGGGGAAGAAGAGAAAGAGTTGCTCTTTAGAGAAAGGGTAGTTCACTTCTAGCTACCTAGAAGGCTGAGATCTGATTATCTGAGGCTAGCCAAAGCCAGGTCAAGCAGACAAATTTGAGAAATCCTTATCTCCATTTAACCAGAAAACAAAGCCAAAAGCAGCCAGATACCAGTGGATCACGCCTGTAGTCCTAGCTACTTGGGAATCTAAGATTTGAGGATAACAGTTCAAAGCCAGCCTGGGCAGAAAAGTATCTGTGAGACTCTTGTCTCCAATTTACCACTCAAAAACCAGAAGTAGAGCTGTGGCTCCAAGTGGAAGAGCACTAGTCTTGAGCAAAAGAGCTCAGGGATAGCGCCCAGGCCCTGAGTTCAAGCCCCACAACCAAGAATAAAGAAAAATAAAGAATGAAAGAAGGGAAGGAAGGAAGGAAGGAAGGGAGGGAGGGAGGGAGGGAGGGAGGGAGGGAGGGAGGGAGGGAGGAATGGGAGATGTGGCTTAAGTGGTAGAGTCAAGTAAGAATGTGAAACCATGACTTCAAGCCCCAGGGTGATTAAAAAGGCCGACAGAGAAAGGTTAGTCTGAAATTTGTAAGGGAGTTTGACCAAATGGAGATTATAAAAACAAGAGAAAGAAATTCTGGGATTATGTAAGAGTGAAGGAAGAATTGATATGAGAGGAAGACAGAGCCTTTGGAGATGCTTCTAGCACAGGGAGAGTGCTCTGGCTCCAAAGGATGGTCCAGGGAGGGACAGAAGGGGACGGCAATGAGACAAAAGACTCTGCAGAAGATGCGTCCGGGAACGAGGAAGTGGGGTGGGCAACCCTCCAGAATGCTTCAGGGAGCAGGAGGGAGGCTGTGACCACGAACAGTCTATTGCGTTTGGAGGAGAAGAACAGAGGTGCGTTTGAGAGGCAGGTTCAGTGTAGAGGGAGAGGAAGGTCAGAAGAGGAATCAGGAAGTGAGGCTAGCACGCATCATCACATGGCCTGCTCGGGAAGGGACAGAGATGCAGAACACAAGACCGAGCACTGCTAGCACAGGACCCTGCTTCATTTGCTCACTGCTGTCTCCCCAGTACCTACGCCACTTTGTCATTTCACAGATACTCAATAAATATTTGTCCATTGGTGGCTGTTGACTCAGTGGATGGATGCATGAATTACCATGGCATCTGAGGGAGTATGAAAGAATCAGCTCGCTCTTGCAGATGTGTAGCTCATGCCTGAACACTGAAGTTGCTACTGTTTTCAGGAAAGGCTGCAAATGAGCACAGTCACAGTCTAAAGGCTGAAGTTAGTCTTTCGGGCAGTCATATGAGAAAAAGAAAATCTTCCTGGTCAGACACGGGAACTGGAGTGTTTCTGAATAGAAATCCCTCTCTGTCTGCACCAGGAAAATCACAGGAGATGGGAAGCAGCTGGCTCCAGAGGGCTGGGAGTGGAGACGGGACAGCCCACAGAAGGGTAGGTACGGAGCAAGGAGTTAAGAGATCCAGGCAAATGCCTGCAGAGTTGTGTTAGTCACCATACCACAACTAACAAATACTGAAAATAAGCAATTCATGCAAAGAGTTATTAGCCTAGGTGTAGGGGCACTGGCTTGTAATCCCAGCCACTCAGGCAGTAGACTTGGGAGAATTGTGAGTTCTAAGCCAGCCTAAGCAGACACAGCAGGAAGACCCAATGCAAGGCCCAGGGTTTGATCCCCACCAGAAAGTAGGTGGATGAAGGACAGATAGATCACAGATTTGATAGATGATACATGAAATAGCTGACAGATGGACAGAGATAGACACAGACAGACAGATGTGCTATTTTGGCTCAGTGTTAGAGGTTCCACCAATGACGGCATGATAGTTGGCTCTGTGGCTCTGTCTGTGAACAACTGACCCTGAACAATCCTGCCGTTTCCAGGTTGTGTTTTAATTAGGTAGCATGGTATTCCTTTACAGGAAATGTAGGAAAGAACCTTTTCCTGCTGCTTATCACTCTTCTGTTGTTTGATTTTTGGAAGACAGACAGACACTAAGGAGAACGTGAGTTCTAAAAGGGCAGAATGGCCCAGAACAAGAAAAAAGAAGTACAGTTGTAAAGAACATGCCCACTGACACTAAGCAGAGCCTTGAGATTCAAGGAGTAGGTGAGGTTAGTTTTTGCAAAATTGTAGAAAGAAAGGTGGAGTGAATAAAGACAAAAAAGGCAAACACTTCAGTGGTGCTCACTCTGGGATTCAGGGGACAGGTGGTTAGATGAGACACGGAAGGCTCACACAACTGTTACAGGGTGGCGACCAGGGCCCGGTGTGTGAAGGAGCTTCTGCAAACGTTGAAGGGCTAAATCCTGAAATTTCCAGACAGATAATACTGTAGGAACACTTGGCAACACAGAAAGGCTCTGTGCAACTGGTGGACGTTCATTTCCTACGATGTCAACCCACCCTAGAGGATCCACTGCCCCCTAGTCATGGGAACAAGATAGACACACACCTCATGGAGGACCCATTTCACAATTCAAAACAACCCTGAAGGTGGTCTCTAGTCACAAGAGCCACAATTAACCCACTTCAATTTTTTTTCCTCATATGCATCCATGGTATACAATTTTTTGGGGGGGTCAGTTGTGGGGGCTGAACTCTGGACCTGAGCGCTGTCCTTCAGCTCTTCAGTTCAAGGCTCGTACCCTACCACTTGAGCCACAGCGCCACTTTCAGCTTTTTTCTGCTTATGTGGTGCTGAGGAATCAAACCAGGGCCTCACGCATGCAAGGCAAGCACTCTACCACTGAGCCACCTTCCCAAGCCCTGGTATAGAATTTTTATAAGATCTGTAAGAAGCCTCCAGATGGAAGAAATCTTGGGACTCAGCTAGTCCAGCCTCTCACTTGTTAGGACTTAGTTGGTAGAAATCCATGGCAGACACTATCCATGGACATTGGACATCCTCGATTGCTCTGGTGTCTCTCTCTCCTTTGCGGTACACCTAAATCCATGTATCTGAACTCTATTCAATGCAATATTGTTGGAACTAACAGAATTCACTCCAGGTCTGTCTCCCTCTTAAACAGAGGATTCTCAACCAGCAAAACAAAAGTAAGGCAGCCAACGCACTGATGGCTAAAGCCTTTAATCCTAGCAACTCAGGAGGCTGATGTGGGCAGAAAAGTCTGGGAGACACTTACCTCCAATTAACTACCAAAAAGCCACACGTGGAGGTGTGGCTCAAGTGGTAGAGCACCGGCTCCAAGGGAAAAATCCAAAAAAGAGCTCAAGGGCCTGTGTTCAATCCCCAGTACCCATCCCCCCCCCCCCCCACACACACACACACAAAACAAGATATAGAGCCCAGGTCCTGAAAATATCAGGGAGGTTCTTAAGCCAGAGGATGATAATGAACATGTATCAGGCCCTCACACAATGCTTGCAAGCTCCAAAAACAAAAGCAGGAAAACATGTAAGGAGTCTCTGGTTGAAGGTCAAGATAATTACACTTTTAAACACAAATACTTGTCATTTCAAAAGCTCCTTTATGGAAATTGCCTTAGGGCCTGGATGGCTCGCTGTGGCGCTCAGAAGCCCTGTCTGTTGAGCTCTATTTGGTTCATTCCCCAATCAACTTGGGTGCAAAGCATGGAGAATAAGGACAATCAAGATTCAGATGTCCTATGCAGTAGGAGGCGCCTGAGTGCTCACGCAGTCAAGACCCTGGCACAAAAAATTCCCTGATCACAGGGATTTACCTCGCAGAGGAGGGGAAATCGACACCCCGGGGCACCCGGGATATATAATCACGCGTGGCACAACTCCTTGGGCAGATGCCCACGCGCCTTCCCCCGGCCTGCCACACTCACCTGCAGAAAGCAGTGTCCCACCGGGGCATGCTCCGCGAGGGTCGCGTTGTACACCTGTCTCGGGAACACCGGCTCGTGGTCATTGACGTCGGCCACGGTGATGCGCACGCGGCAGGCGGCGGAGAGTGGGGGGCGTCCGAGGTCCTGGGCCACCACCCTCAGCTCCACCTCCTCCTGGGCCTCGCGGTCCAGAGCCCGGACGGTGCTGATCGCACCGCTCTCGGGATGGATGGCGAAGGCCGGTCTACACTCGGCCGCGGGGGGCGGCACCTCGGGTTCGCAGCCCGCCTGGAGCTGGACGAGCGCGTAGCGCAGCCGGGCGTGATCGGTGCCCGGCTCGTCGGCATCTGAGGCACTGACCCACAGCACGGCGGTGCCAGGGGCGGCGGCCTCGGACACCGAGGCCCGGTAAAGCTCCTGGCTGAAGACGGGCGGCTGGTCGTTGAGGTCAGTGACGCGGAGCAGCAGGGTCTCCTCTGTGCTCAGGGGTGGGGACCCCGCATCCGTCGCCACCAGTCGCAACTCGTACAGATCCCGGCTCTCCCTGTCCAGGGGCCCCTCGACGCAGAGGAAAAAGACTCCTGGGGCCCCCCCGGGGCGCAGCGCAAAGGCCCCCTCCCCGCCCTCCAGGGACAGCGAGATGCCCCCGCCCCCGAGGCCCAGATCCCTGGACGCCTCCTCTTCCCTCTGGGGGTCGCCATCCGCGTCGGACACCGACACGCGAGCCACGTAGTCACCCGGTCGGGCTCCCTCGGAGACGCGGGCCGCGGCCCCCTCGGTGAGAAAGAGCAGGTGGATGGCCGGCCGGTTGTCATTCACGTCCAGCACGGTGATGGACACGCGCGCCGTGGCGACCTCGGGCTCGGCGCCCCCGTCGCGGGCCTCGATCACCAGCTGGTGCCAGGCCTGCGCCTCGCGGTCCAGAGGCCTCCGCACCCGCACGGCGCCGCTCAGCTCGTCCACGGTGAAGTAGGCGTCGCCATCCGGTGAGCGGGGCCCGGGGCGGGCGCGGAGGCGGTAGCGCACGAGCCCGTTGGGCCCCAGGTCGCGATCGGTGGCGCGCACGCGACACACCTCGGCGCCCGGCGGGGCGTCCTCGCGCACCGCGGCGCGGTACTCGTCCTGCTGGAAGACCGGCGCGTTGTCGTTCTCGTCCAGCACGCGCAGCTCCACGCGCAGGCGGCCGCGGCGCCGCGGGCTGCCGCCGTCCCACGCCTCGATCTGCAGCTCGTGCGCCGCCGCCGTCTCTCGGTCCAGACGCCGCAGGAGCACCAAGTCCAGCGGTTCCAGGGGCGGCGACGACGCCGACGCCGGGGGTGGCGGCCCTGGAGCCCCGTACCGCAGCCGGAAGAACGGCCCCTCGGGGTCCCCGGGGGGCTCCGAGGGCTGCACCAAGCTGTAGCCCTGCGTGCCAAACAGCCCGGCGTCCGGGTCGTGCGCACCTGGCAGGCGGAAGGCGGTGCCCGGCGGGCTGAGCTCGGAGACGTCGAGCTGCAGGGAGTCGCGCGGAAAGCGGGGCGAATGGTCGTTCACGTCGTTGACTCGGATCTCCACCTGCACCACGGCGCCCAGCAGCGTGGCGGCCACGAAGCGGTAGCGATCGCGCCGCTCGCGGTCCAGGCGCCGCGCCGTGCGGATGATGCCGGTGTCCGGGTGCACGTGGAAGTCGTCCAGCAGCGGGGAGTCCTCCGAGTCCTCGGACAGCAGGAAGCCGACTGCCCCCTGCGGCTGCGCGGCCTCCAGCGCCGCGCGGAGGTCACCCACCAGCGTGTCCGCAGGCAGGCCCTCGTCCACCGAAAGGCTCAGGTTGAAGACCTGGGCGGAGGAGCCCGAGGACGCCCACAGCCACGCGTGCACGCAGAGCCCGAGCAGGGCGCGCCGCGCCCCGGGGCCGCCGCCGCCGCCTGGCCACCCACGGGGCGGGCGGCTCCGTCCGCGGAGCCCACGGCGCTTCCGCGCGGGAGCCCCCGGCCCGGGACGCCCGGCGCCCATCCTCCGCGCACAAGGGCTCCGCGCCCCGCCAGCCCCCGGGGAACTCTCCGGGGTGTCTGCCAGCTTGGGGCGGGATGGCAGGGCTGGGAGGGGTGAGGGAATCCAGGAGCCTGTGCGGCGTGCGCGCCCGAGAAGAAGAAAACGTGTGTGGCACAGAGCCCCGCGGAGCCACGAGTTCCCCGGTCACATCCGCATCCCGCGCTGCGGCGGCGGCTGCCGGCGCGCCCGGCCCGCCGCTCACGCCGACCGACGGGGCGGCTCCGGCGGCCTCCGCCGCGCCAGCCGCCGCTGCAGCCCCCGGGATGGCTCTAACCGCGGCTCATCTCCTTCCCTCTCTCCTTTTATTCCTCTTCCATCTGCGCCTCGTTCTGCCCGGCTGCTCGTCTCCCCCTGGTAAAGTCAGGTGCATTGTTTCTTTTGCCAAAAATAAAAGAGGAGGAGGAAGAGGAGGAGGAGGAGGAAATTATTTAAGGCGCGCTCACACCGAGAAGCTGGGGCTCGGGCCGGGGAAGGGGGCGGGGCCGGGGGCGGGGCCTGGCGGGTGGGGAGGGGGGCGGCTCGGGGGGCGGACCCCGCGCGGCGCCCTCCTCCGCCCCGGTCTCCGTCCCCTCCCCGCGCGTGACGCGGCGCCCACGAGGACCAAGTCCAACCTGCGCGCCGGGGCTCCGCCGCCGGGCGGAAGAGCAGCAGACGCTAAAGGATCGGGAGACGTGGACCGCGGGGCGGGCAGCGGGCGGGCGCCGGCTAGGGGCTGCCCTGCCCTGGCCTGGCCTGGCTGGCCGAGGGCGGGGTTGCGGAGCGGCCGGGGCGCGCGTTCCCTCCGCTCGGGCGCGCGCGCCGGGGGAGGTGGGGGCTGGAATCACTTTGCAGAGCCAAACTTGTGTTCTCCATTTGCCCGCGGAGACCGGTCCCCAGCGGAAGGACAGATGGAGTCAAAGGCCGACGCACAGCTGGAGCCGGGATGACTGCAAAGGAGGAGAGGCGGAACTTGCAAGGGGAGGGGGGGGGAAGCCTTCGAGAAAATTCGGGGAAATCTGCGGCACACGTGGCGCACACCAGGCTTTCTTGTCACTCCCCTCGGCCAGCGCGGGATGGCGGCGGTGGATGCAGCTGGTGAACCTGTTTTACGCATTCAGCGGCCATCATCACACTTCTAAACATGTGATGATGCGGAAAGGCCGGTGACCCGGGCCCCAGGCCTCCCTCTCCTTCCCCAGGCAGGAAGCCTTCACCCAGGGCCTCCACTCCCCAGGCACCCACCTTCAAACTAGCTAGTGCCCAAGCCGGTCCCGGGGTCTCAGGCTTACCTGCTGTTATCCATAACAATGGGGGGAAGATGATAAATGGCCTCTAATAAAGTAAGCTCCCTGGAAGCCGAGTCTCTGCCCTCTTAGGAATGGCCGGCCATCTTTCGAAAATGCGATCTGCAGGTTTGCATTTCCGCCAGAGGACAAATTTCATTGGGAAGGTGTTCCTCTGCCCTTCAGCGGGGAGGGCCGGCAGGTCCTGCATCGCGGCTGCTTCCAGCTCCAGACAATGCCTCTTTTGAGTGACAGGCGCGTGTATGGTTGCTAATCCAGAGTCAGGCCAGCCTCTCCACCTGGGACAAAATAATAATTCATCCATTTGTTTTTGTGGTAGATCTGTGACCTGCAATGGAGACATGATTAAAACCACTCCTGTCTTCTTTCAATAGAATCTCCTTAATTTAGGAGCTTTGGTGGGAGTCCTTGGGTCTGATTTCTCTGCTCTTACCCCCTTATAAGCCATTCTCTCCCCCCACTCCACCTCGAGGTTTTTTGTACCTGTCCTGGGGCTTGAATTCAGCTACTGTCGCTTAGCCTTTTCACTCAAGGCTGGTGTTCTACCACTTAAGCCACAGCTCCACTTTGAGCTTCTTTGGTGTTTAATTGAAGATGCCAGTCTTACGTACTTTCCTGCCCAGGCTGGCTGAAAACAGTGATCCTCCTTTCTCAGCCTTCTGAGTAGCTAGGATTCCAGCACTCACTTTGATGGTTTTAAAGCTGACTCAAGCCACCTTCCTCCTCCTCAGAACTTGTAGCTCCAGTTACACTTGGATTATAATTCAGACCCTTTTTTAAAGTAGCTTGCTGTTGTCTCTCCACATGCTGGAGCCCCATACTGCCTTCGGTCTGATTGTAGACCCTTTCAGTTGCTAGAGCTTTTCATGTCTGGTTCAACTCTGACACAACTATTCACATCCTTCCCCGACTACCTAACCCAGCTCCTCACCACAAACCCTACAGTATCACATGTTATCGTCATTCATAACAACCTTAGTCCCTAATATCAGCTGGCATTAATCATCTGTTTGATTATTAGTCTCAACCCTCTTAATAGACTTGAAGCACAGGTTACCCCAACCTGGCAAAACAGCTTATAGTTGGTCTCTAGTCACCAAATATGCGGGTAGCTGGGAGGGCGGTTGGTAACTGATAGATAAGGAGATGGATGCATTTGTTAAAGCAGAGATTTGAAGCCACACCTGAGAAGTAGGTGGCCATGAGAATTTTCACTGCTATGAATTCTACCTTTATGGCCTTAATGATTTGAATCATCCTGTGAAACAACTTTTTTTTTTTTTGGGTCAGTCATGGGGCTTGAACTCTAGGCTTGGGTGCTGACCCTGCACTCTTCAGCTCAAGGCTAGCACCCTAACACTTGAGCCACAGCGCCACTTCCAGTTTTTGAGTGGTTTATTGGAGATAAGAGTCTCATGGACTTTCCTGCCTGGGCTGGCTTTGATCCTCAGATCTCAGCCTCCTGAGTAACTAGGATTACAGGCGTGAGCCACCGGCGCCCTGTCTGTGAAACTTCTTGACCTTATTTTGTAAGCTAGCTACTGGCTGTTATCCAGTAATTACTTGAGTATAAACAAAAAGGAAATCCAGGACTCTTCTGCATCTTTCACTGACGTGGTCTTTGTAAACAGTGGGTTGTTTTTGTTTTTTTAGAAACAAATGGAAAGTTGAGAGCTTCTATGCTCCCATTGGTCCTTCAGCTTTCTAATCCAAGCTCCTGCAATTCAAGGTTTTCACCCACTTTGTGATAGTTTTTATTGAATGTTTTGAGTATCAGGCTAGAATTACAAATACAGTTTAGTAAATGGAAAGAGATTGGAGCATTTCTCAAATATGTGGGGGGAAAAATCTTTAGATAGCACAGGTTTCAGTGACCTACAAGAAACAGATCATGGTCTGAGCTTTTGAGGGAATTTTGAAGGGATTTGGTGTCACTGTACAGAGTGTTGGCACTGCAGCTGGGAAACCCTTTCTCTGCCTGGCAGATGGAGGCAAGTTGTGCTAATTTGCTAAGCTTCCATTTCCTTCTTTAAGTTGGGAATGTTACATCTAACGTAAAAATCTTTATGTATGTGGATTGGCACATTGGAAGCACATTGTAAATGCTCCTTTTGCAGTCGTCAGTGTGTGTGTGTGGAGGAATGTTTTAGGGATAAATTGTTTCAGGACCCTCAGCAGTCTCCAACTCTGACTTTTTAGACGTCCCGGTGCATGAAGAGAGAGGAGATAAAATCCCCACAGTCCGGAATAGAGAGACACAGGCCATTTGTCACCTGGTGCCACAGCGGTGCAGGTGATCTGTCTGCAAAGTCATTCTCTCCTAAACTTTGTACTCATTCAGTGAATAGATATTAGAGCTCAAAGCAATGTTCAAAGCCCTCCCCCAGCCCAACTGTTGACCCTTTAGGGAGGGAATTAGAATCACCTTTTTTGAGGGGAGGTGGTGCTAGTCCTTGGGCTTAATCTTAGGACCATGGAACTGTCCCTGAGCTCTTTTGCTTAAGGCTAGCTGTCTACTACTTGAGTCACAGCTCCACTTCCAGCTCTTTTTTTTTTTTTTTTCCTTACCTAGAGATAAGTGTCTCACAGACTTTCCTTCCCAGACTGGCTTCAAACTGAAATCCTCAGATCTCAGCCTCCTGAGTAGCAAGAATTACAGATGGTGAGCCACCTATGATTATCTTGATCTTGCAAATGAGGAAATGGAGATTCAGAGACATTGAAGTCTCACAGGAAGAGGTAGGTGGACAGAACTTTAACCTAGAGTTTGGGGCCATCAGTTAGGGAGCCCTCTACTGGTCACTTACTGCCTCTGCCATTTTCTTTAAGCCTATTGTCCTCTGAACTCTCATTGATATCAGTACAGGGATATGAGTTCCAGAAAGACCTGGGGAAGTCCAGGAGGCATCTGGATAGCATGTACACTTGGGGGAATGAAGGGAGACACAGAAGAAATGATACTTAAAGGTGAGTGAGAAGAGGCCTATGAACTATAAACAATTTCTTCCCATCTTCCCCCTTCCCGGTGAGGGCGGAAGGAAGTAGGGTAGCTAACAATAAAACCCCTTTTCATTGCAGTTTGCGTGTCAAAATTCGGAAAAGATTTGAGTGCAAGAGCATTTTAAAGCTTGAGAGGTTCACATTTATATGTCCAGGCTGTTAGTGCTCAGTTGAGTCAAACACCAGGGTAAAGTTACTGTGAAAGTATGTTGTACACATGATGAACAGCTACAGTTAGTTACACTTTACATCAACGTTACCCTCCATAATGTGGCTAGGCCTCATCTAATCAGTTGAAGGCCTTTAAAATATACTTTTTTTTTAATGGAGGTATCCCACAGAAGGAAATCTTCAGCCTCAAGAGTATCACATAGCAATCCTGCCTAAGTTTCCAGTGTGCTCATTTGCCAGTGTTAGTCATCTTTCTGTCACTGTAACAAAATACCTGAGTTAATTCACTGATACAAAGAAAATGCCAAAAAAGAAAAAAGAAAATATCCCTTTGACTCACAGAATCGAGTTCATCATTGATTGTTCCCATGTCTGCAGGTCAGGCAGTGAGTATCTGGTAGGAACATAGCAGAGCAAAATTACTCATCAAATGGCCAGGAAGCCAAAAAGAAGCAGAGGAAGTAACTATAATTCAAAGTCAGGCCTCCAGTAATCTGAAGACCTCAT